TTTTTTTTTTTTTTTGTAATTCAAATTTTTTATTGATTTTCTGAATATTATCTCACATAAAACACAAATACAAAACAAAAAAGGCTGGTGCACCACCCCCCCCCCCCCATGGACGTTTGGACATTTTGACGTTTGGACGTCTGGACGTTGGGAGGTTCTGATGTTTGAACGTTCGAATGTCTGGACGTTGGGCGTTGGGAGGTTTGGACCTTTGGACCGGCTCCGTACTGTTAAACTCCAGACGAGCGCTTTATACAAAGTCCTGTTTTTTGTCTTGAGGCCTTATCTTCCAAAGCTTTTACCTTCAGGAGTTACCAGAGAGAAACCACCCAGAACCAGAACTGGGCCGGGGTCTGGTACTGGTCCTGAGCCTGAGCCTGGTCCTGGTTATGGTCCCTGTCATGGTCATGGTCCCGGTCCCGGTCCAGGTCCTGGTTATGGTCCCGGTTCTGGTCCTGGTCCTTGGGTGGGTCATGGGCCTGGGGTTAGTCCTGGTCCCTGTCTTGGTCCCGGTCTCAGTCATGGTCCTGGTCCGGGTCTCAGTCCTGGTCAAGGTCCTGGTCCAGGCTTTTGTCCCGCTCCTGGTCCAGGTCCTGGGGTTAGTCCAGGTCCCGCTCCTGGTCCAGGTCTCAGTCCAGGTCCAGGTCCAGGTCCTGGTCCTGGTTATGGTCCCGGTCCAGGTCTTGGTCATGGTCCAGGCCTGGTTCTGGTCCTGGTCCCGGTTCTGGTCCAGGTCCTGATGGAGGCCTGTGACTGGAGTTTTATTTCCTTGAACACTGAGTCACAGGTTTGGACTCTTTGGGGCTCAGAAGTGATTTTTGTACATATTTATTTATTATTATTATCTTTTTTTTTAGGATTCTGACCAAAAACGACCAGCTCTTTTCTTCCTCTGTGGTTCTGAGGAGTTCTGAGGAGTCCCGGCTGGACGGGTCTGGTTCTGGTCTCTGTGTGTGTGAGGATGTTCAATAAACGCGTCTCCGTTTGCACACGAACACAGGAAGTGACTCTCTGTTTCCATGACAACCCCCATCTTCCAGATATGACTCAAATCAAATGGGTCCAGTTCACTTCCACTTGTCCCGGTCCACTTCCTGGACCCAGACTGGTTCCTTCATAAAGCTTTGAAGAGTTTCATCCAATCGTCTCAAAGTTTAATTTTTACTCTATTGCGCCCTCTAGTGGAGAATAAAAGTAAAACATAGTGATTATAATGAGACTCTGGCTTTAGTTTCTGAAGCTTTGAACCCAGGGTGACCCCCCCCTCTCTCCATTGGCTACTGGGATAGGCTCCACCCCCCGACCCCATTAGGGAATAAGGGGTTAGATGATGGACGGACGGATGTTTGTGATTTTTATTTATTTATTTATTTGTTTATTTGACAGGGACAGTACAATTAAACATTGCAACCAAACAGGTGGCCGATGTCCAACTACATAAGGCTTGTAGCTTAATGGGCTAATTTGCTGCCTTCGTCCCTGGTTAGGCTTTTAAAAGGTGCTAGCATTAAGGGGGGGGGGGGTTAGTAACCACACACAGATGCATAAGAAACAAGAGAAGTTAAAACAAAAAAAAAACTGAACAGTACAAGCCAGTTTAGTGCTCACACTCTTGATTGTCTTTGAGACATTTTTTCTTCTTATGGAGAAAATAGGAACATCAGTCTGTGACAAAGAGTTCCAGAGATGTGATGGTTATACTTAAGTTATAAACTTTTATATGGCGTCTTGTCTTTGTGATACGATGAAGGGAAGCTTTAATAGATCGTTAACAAACTAGTAATTAAGTCCCAAGTCCGTCTGTTTCTCCATGAATCTGAGAAAAACCTCGTCTGCCCAACTCTGTCTGGCTGCAGGAAGCCAAGGATGGATATCCAACTACCCAACATCCAAGTCAGCCATTTTGATTAGGTCACCGATAGGAAGATCCCAGGCAAGAGAATCGTAATTGCTTCATGGCAATATAGACATTGATTTAAAAATAGTGAAATTAATCTTGCAAACACTGAATTAAACTCTATCCATAATATTATGTTAAAATAGTGGATGTTAAATAAGTTTGTACAGTAAGTCCAAACAAGTTTAACCCAAAAAATATTTATTTATCATAATTATGAAGGGTTAGGGTTAGGGTTAGAGTTAGGGTTAGGGTCAGGTTTATGTTTAGGGTCAGGGTTAGATTTATGTTTAGGATTAGGATCAGGTTTATGGTTAGGGTTAGGTTTAGGACATCGTTTATCTTCCGATTTCGTATTGACAGTAAATTTTCGTTTCCACCTCAGAAAGCTGCTAGTCACATGACCGAATCAAAATGGCCGACTCGGATGTGGGAGGAGTTTAATATCCAACCGAGGATATGAACCGGTTTCAACTGAATATTTTAAAATGACATATTTTCATAAAATAAAACGTTTGGATTCCTTGTATCTGTAAGACCAGTTTCATGAGTTCCAATCAGACTTTATTATCATCTCACAGGAGTTAAACCAGAAGAAAAGACGTAAACATTAAGGCTTTTGAGACTTTGGTCTTTTGGGTTTCTATTACCCTAAAATATGTCTTTAAGGAAAATAGTCCCTGGTTCTTATGGGACAGTTTCCCAGTATCAGATCAGGACTGAGCTCAGCTGTTGTTTCCACATCAAGGCTTTATTTCTAAACCGATTATATTCTCAATATGGTGATTTATGTATTCTGTGTCTCTACGTCCTCCTGTGGTATCTGTGCCATTCGTAATGGAAAACCAGCTAATCTGGGTTATATCTAGGGCACACGTCCCACTTTCCTTTTCTCTGTACGTCCTCAGTTTAACCCTTTAAAGCCCGATCCAAGAAAAATAGGAAGAATATTGGATTTTTTTAGTCTGAACTCTTTCTTTGGCCCCTCAACAACATATGAAGAAAAAAAACAGAAATAATTTTGATATCTGAATGTGTACAACAGGGGTTTGAGCAAAGCTTTTACCACTGAATGATGCAAAAAGTCTCACATCCAAAAGAAACCGGATCAAATATGACACATTTGGCCTTATAGGGTTAAAAGAAAATGTATTAAGAAAAAATTTTATTACAATATCCAGTGGTTAAACAGGCACTTCACAGGTGTTTTCATGGATTAATCAGCCTTTAAAGTTTCAGAATCAGTAAGAACAAACTACTACAAAGTGAATTGTGTCAACATCTAAACGGAGAACCTTTAGGACCTTTAGACTAAATGGAAACCAGCCAAAGAACCGCGGAGCAAACAGAGAACTCAAACTTTCCCCTCAGCTTTTAATCCGACGTTGTTTGAATTCATGAGTTAATCTTTAACTTTCTGGTTTTTTATTTTTTTTATTAAGGAACAAAGTCCCTGTCTGACCCTCCAGAGCAGGAAGCTGTAAAAGCTTTTCCACCTGGACTCCAGACATGCTCAGTAGGGGGGGTTTAGTCACATGACCAGATAGGGACTGTTGGTTAAACCCCGCCCTCTTAAAAACGGTCAAACACCGGCTGTAAGTGTCTGATACTCAGATCAGGGATCAGCAGGTTTATTTATTTATTTATTCATTTCATTCAATACAAAGAAAAATTATTCATTTCATTCAATACAAAGAAAAAATTAATTAAAAAAATTAAATGAAAAGTAGCAGAAAGAAGAAAATAATCTTATAATATCTGCCCCTTTTTCTCAACTATGGATCAAAACAACAAAAAAAGAACAAAAAAAATTGATTTGTCTTATGTGACAAAAAAGAAAACAAACGAAGAACAAGGTTCTGATGGAAAAAGTGCCAAAAACCGGTTCTAATATCGTCCAATCAGAAGCAGGTTCCAGGTTCCCATCAGTGGGTTCCTCTGGGTTCCTGTTTAGGTGGAACATCTGGACCTGAGACCTGAAAACTGAACCGGTTCTGATCTGGGGGGTTCCTGAGCTCCTTTCTCTGTTCGGTTTCACTCCTAAAAT